ACAGAAGATGAGTCTCTTCTGCGGTTGATGGATTACGTATCCAATGCGTGTAATCAAGCTTTGAAAAGCTTGTCGTCTCAATACCGCTCTTCAACCGAACGGGATTCTGTCCGTGACGGACTGCTGTACTATACAGCAGTCAACGGCGACACACCTCGTGTCGTCGTTCCGGCTCATAATGATTTGCGATTGCGCATCATGTATGAGTGTCACGATGCCCCAACAAGTGGACACCGTGGTAGAGAAAAGACTTACCTCACGGTGAGTCGTGACTTCTCCCCGCCACTATGAGTTTGTGCGGAAATGCATTCGCGCTTGCGAAGTTTTTTAACGGGTGAAGTCTAGTCTTTCATCCCACGCACCCTTACAGCCGCTTCCAATTCCGGCAGAGTGTTGGCAGTCCGTACCGATGGACTTCGTCTTCGGGTTTCCCAAAGAAGCTTACACGAATGTTGGGAGTCTTGTGTTTGATGATCAAGTCAGCAAGATGGTACATCTTGTTGCTGTACCGGAGTCAATCACCGCCTAGGGCTGTCCTCGTGTCTTTATCGATACTATCTTCCGACTTCACGGGTTACCCCGTCAACTCGTATCTAAATGGGATCTCCGCTTTACAGTGGAGTTCTGGCAATCTGTGTTCTGTTCAATTGAATCACGTTTAATGATGTCGACTTCTAACCATCCAGAAACAGATGGTCAGACGGAACGCGTCAATCGCGTCCTCGAATAGATACTTCGAGGATGTGTCCTCTCGTTTAATAATAGGAATGAGTTCTTGCCGATGGCAGAATTTGCCATCATCAACTTGGTACATGCCTCGACAACGCGTACACTTTTCTTCGTAAATGGCCTACGCCATCCACGTTTACCCGCCTTCTTAGAGTGTGACTCTAGTTTAAGGGGGGTGGACATGCTCGAACTGATAACCTATCTGGTTCTTACTCATCACTTGTCAACAATGATGTCGACGTAGTGGATGCCGATGTCGATGCGATCGATATCGATGATGACGATGACGACGATACTTGTACACTCAGCATCGCAAATGACTGCTTTAATGAAAACGATGACGCCCTCATTAGTAAATGCAATATTTTTTGGCAGTGCACACGAAACGCACTGCTGTTAACAAGGATGAGTCAGCAAAGGATTTCTGCTCAATCGCAAAGCGGTTGTCCGCTTCATTCAAGACTCTATTGCAGATGCAAATGGACAAGCAGAACAGAAACGCAGACAAACATGGAAGAGCAAATGTTCTTTCGTTTGATATAGGAGACCTAGTTTTACTGTCTGCAGTTAACTTACCGAAGCACGCGGTGACAATCGTGGGCAGCAGTAAATTAATGCCCACGTACATCGGTCCATTTCGTGTGTTGCGCCGAATGGGCAACGCATACACGATTGAACTGCCCCGTAAGATGCGCACGCATCCTACGTTTTACGTTGGACGTTTCCGCTCGTACTATCAGTACGAGCCCGTTTTGAGATGCGAAGAACACCTCCGCGGTCGAGAGCCAAGACCACCCTCGAGTGGTCCCGTTTCAATGATCCAGTCTGGTCGACTAGCGAAGCGACCTGTTCACGCAGCTCAGTGATGTCTCGACGAGCTACAGCCAGCACATCACGAAGAGAACGAGTCGAACGTTCGTCCTCAAGTTTCGCGAGCGCAAAAGCGGCACGATCTTCCGAACGATCGTGCGTTAGGAACTATAATTGTCCCTCACAAGATCCTCAAGCCCAAAACGCCGATATCGTTCATGAGCCAGGTCATCTTGCAACTGATTCGTTAGACGGTTTAGCTCTTGAACATCAACTTGATCCGACTCTCCATCCAGACCAGGTGTTCCCACCGTCACCACATCCTTTGGTGGACTCAAGCGGTGGTCAACGCTTCCTAGTGGAGCGTATTTTGAACCACCTCGACGTGAATAGCGTCCGGACGAGTTACCTCGTCCTCTGGCATGGCTATCCAAAGTCCTGGGACAGCTAGGAGCCTCTTGTCCAGCTGATTGTTGATGTTCTGGATCTCGTCAAGCAGTATGGCTAGACCCACCCGCTGCGTTCGAAGAAGGGCTGTCGGAAAACGACCTCCTCGAATGCGAGTACAGGGATTGCAAGGTGTTAATCTCTTCGTCCATCTCGGAAGAGTTGCGCGCCCTCCAGTAGGGATCTTTAGAAAGGGAGACCTCCTTAGGGGCACGGTTCGAGTTGTCCAGGCACCCTGGACACGAATCACCCCACGAGAGACAGGGTAATCCTGCCTCTCTTGGAAGCCGGTGCAACTGGTATCGCGCCCCGACTGGATTGCGTTTTTCAAACCTGATGCGAGCTGCATCAAGTTTTGCGAGCCAAGCCTCACGGCCAAAACAATCGATGTTGTGGGTGAGGGCGTTCCATCCCTGCACCAAGGCTTTTCCGTCCCGAACACGGCTATCATTGTACCACCGATGTTCGAAGAACGCATCGGTGAAGAATTCTTCCTCAGCACGGATAGTTTACATGCTGGAACTAGGAGGACAGATCCTCCTACATTCATACAACGGGATGTTTGGTGGTCATGCCGGCCACTCGATCCTACTCTTTGGATGACGGCATCCATGGATACTCCACTTGAGGAGCGATGCAGGACATTTGGTCCCTGTCCTCTTGATTGGTGTCAGCATGAGCACTGACACCAGTGGAAGCTCGATCCCTCGAGGTGCTTCTCTCATGATGATGCATTGGGGCACCATCACCACGCGTCCTATCGTCGGATGGACTAGCGTGAGGCGAGGATTCGTCAGGAAAATCGCTCGGTCCGAAGATCTCGGACGTGATGCCGCCAAGTTCCTCAGAGTCAGTAAATTTGGCTCTTGCAGTGTCATCCCCGGATGGTTAGGAGGCGTGAGGTGTCACCTTCGATTCGGATACATCATCCGACTCGCCAGAATAGATGAGCTCTATTTCAGACTCCTCTAGATTACGACTCGTGGTACCCGCTGCAGACGCAGCGGATGTACCTGTCGCACGTGGTAACTCACCACGTGGACGATTCACAACAACAGGCGACGAATCACCTGCTGCTGAGGTGTGAGAAGTACTATCTCCGACTGCACGCATGCGCGCAGCCACCTTTCTTGCAGCTGCATCAGAATTCGCATGGGTGTCGAGACCATGCGTTGGATTGGCAAATGAATTGAATTCTACCAACAAGTGCTCCCTTTCCCAGAGTGATCCAACGGTGGTCACCCTATCCCGATCAATTCTAATTTAATCAACAGGTGATTAATGGTTAAGGGGGGGGTGATGTAACGGGTTAGCCCGTTGCATGATATTGAAACCAAACGGTGTCAATAGGGAGATTGTCTAGCATGACAATTCCCTGCCAATATTATTCGAGATGGATCGTATTGAAGGAATATTATCCCCTTGTAGGATAATATTCATGCGCTGCTCCAAGATTGGTCGGTATAAGACATATCGACCACATATTACCACCAATCGCTGCTAGACGTGCGCAATGAGTAGTGAGCAGGTTGTCTTCACACGACGACGTAGTTTAATGAAGTTAGACTAAGATTAAAGTTATATTGATAGCTTAACTATATTTAATACAGTTCTCTTTTTACCCTTTACTCAACTATGCTGTTTAGTAGATCAGCTTCCTCTGCACGTGCTAGTGTCCGTGAAGTTTCGCGGCACCCCAAGCAAAGGGTGCCTCGTTACAAAAGGGAATTGTTATTTCCACCACAACTTTAGCTATTTCCACCACACAGTAACTTTCGAATGAATGGTTTCAGCGCACCGTACCACACGACCGCACTACCACACTCTCTTGTATCCAAATACTAGGATAATTTCACAGATGTATTATTGATTTAAGTGTGGGAATAAAAAGAAGGAAGCAGCTTATTTGTTTACTTTATGGCACATACTAATCTGTCCCTTGGTGAATCCTACTTTTTTGGTAGCCACCCTCGAGTTTAAAGTCGATAACACACACCTTTACATATCATTGTCGATCATAATTTGCTCAAGACAACACCACCCATCGATTTGGTCTCCGTTCAAAAACTCGATGACAAGCTAAGACCATTGCGTACTCGCCAGCGCCAACCATACGAGAAACGAGAGACGGCAAGTATAAGGATGAGGAGTGAGACAAGACAATGTATCGGGGAGGGGATGTTTCTGCTGTGGATGGCAATTACAAGAAATTAGAGGTAGAGATCGTCACTGACTTTTTATACGAGTACCAGGAAGACGCGTACGGCAAGAGCGACGTGTATACATCGCTAAGGATGCGACGCCACAAACGGCGGTGCTAAGGATCCCATTGAATGCGAGACTGACGGTCCAGATTCTGCAGGAGATTGAAGCGTTGCAAAATGTTGCGTTCTTTCAGCACATTTTCCCTGAGCGAGAGGACGATCAAAGCTCTTGCTATGCTGTAAAATAATTTTGTGCAAGCCAGCAAATCCACGTGTTCAAAGCACATTAATCTACTTCCTGGTATTGTTACAACGCACACTACATTGACAGGAAGAACTAAAGGCGCTGTAAGGCATCGATTTGTTTGTCTAGTTGCTCAGCAGATCGAACGGCAAGTTGGGCACGACTGTGAGAAATAAAGGAAATTGTATCAAACGATCTCTTCGAAAACCGTCACTGGCGTTTTTTGGCAATTCGAGGGTGCGCTATTTGGATTTCTTCCGTGAAACGCGGGGTGGGGGTGATTTGGTGGCTCGGTGGTGTGGTATGGTGCGTCTACTACTATTCCAACAAAAGTTATAGTGTGGTGGGACTAGTAAAAGTGTGTTGGAACTAGTAAAAACTGTAGTGGAAATAAGAAAATATGGGGCCCAATTACCGATTCCCAAATAATTACCCAATGACAGTCTACCTGAGCTCGCGGAAGATGTGGCCAAAAACGTGCCGCTATTTCGTTGTAAATAATTGTCGTCACTGAATAAAATAACAATTAATCACAGAGCATAATATAATCGACAATTGCATCAGGGATGGCGTCGGCGGTAAAAAAAGGAGATAAGCGCGCGCTGTACGTGGGCGGCCTGGACAAGCAAGTGACAGGGCAAACACTGTTCACAGCCTTCTTACCTTTTGGTCCTATTAAGGGCGTGCAGATTGCCATGGACTACGCCGCGCGTGCGTCGTCAATTAGATGTTTTTTGCTAATTAATTTTGGAGCGAAACACGTGTCACTGATTTTGAGCATTTGTAGAGAGAAGCAAAGGCTTTGGCTTCGTTGAATTTGTAGACGAAATGGATGCCAGAGCTGCTATTGACAATATGGACGGTAGGATAGTTTTGCCGTTCTAAAATGTTGTTTGCGCTGAGTAAATTAAAGTGATTGCAACTTGCGTTCTGCTCTTCTCTAGAGTCCGAGCTGTTTGGAAGGACGTTGCGAGTCTCCATTGCCAAGCCAGATCGACCCAAACTTGGCTCCAACAAACCAGGTAGGGCGGACAGGCTGCACTATCCGGTATACAGGGAGGGGGATTGCTAATACAAGCGTATCTGCGTTTTGTCAGTGTGGGCGGAGGCCGATGAAGCGATGGATGGTACGAGCGAGTCAACTTAGGACGCGGATGATGCGAACAATGGATACGCTTTGTGCCTCAAATGTACTAGGTGTCCTGATATGGTAAAGGGGGGGATATATTCTGGACTGTGATACAACTTGGTACAGGCAGCGCATCGACCGTGTCGATTTCAATATGTGAACTACTGAACCTGTGAACGGAATATGCGTATCTTTTGGTGGGAACAGCTTGTTGCGAGCATTTGCGGCTAAAGACACTGCATCCTGTCAATCGAGTCGTCGGCAATCAAACTCGGCCCTAATTGCTGGTAGGCAGCTTGAGGAGCAGAAGCGTGCCATATTTAAAGGCGTCACGGCTTCAGGCGAGGTCGTTGATCGGGTCGTGAACCTACCTGACTGCTACTGAGCATACCGACATGACCGCTAAGTTTTGGACCGATCTGGAACAATCGCAATCACAAAAATCGCCGTGAGCGTCCTTCCAGCAATTTCTGCATCAGCTCGCGGACAGATAATTGTCCGGTAGTGTCAAGATAGGCAGATCCAGTGAGGCGTCACGGAGCAACAACGCGTCGAAAACAGTGTCCAGCAAACCGGATACTTCACTGACGTGCATACGATGGCGTATGTATACGGTTGCTCGAAGATCTGTATTGCCGCGCCTGTCAACCGGTGAGCTGACAGCTAGCCTTCGAGCCACAAGCAGATAGTTTCAGGCGCACGCTAAATAGGGTGTGCCTGACAACAGTTGGCCACAATCAACAAACCTGGTCGGCTGCTGTCCACAGCTGCGCTGCCTCTGCGTAGAAACTCACGCAAGAAATCCGTTAACACAAGTTGCCGTGGGGAGGGGCTGGATCGCTACCACTAAAAAAATTATGCAGCGGGTGAAGCAGCCCCTACTCAATTGCAAAATTGAGCCTAATTAGGCGTTTTGTGCGCGACTGCCGAGCACGGATGGTCACGAAATATGGCAGTAGCTTGACATCAGTCAGACAAATTGCAAACGCCTGACGATAGTGTCTTTGGAAAGAAAGGACAGCAGAAGTCAAGCTGCATCGGACAAAGACAATTTAGCGAGAACAACTGCAGAATGGGGCATCATGAAATGAATGGAAAGCTACTCATCAGCTCAAATCGAGAAGTAGATGTTGACCGCTGTAACTCTACGTCTGTCAGTTATTCGCTGTGAGGTGTGAAGGTGACTTGCATCATCCTCATAGGAATCATGTTGCGAATCATGACATCCGTCACGAGAAGGTGACCGGGTTTGAAAAGCTTGGTGCGATGAAAGTTTGGTGGGTGCAATCGAGAGTTGCCGAGCAACACCCTCTACCATCCTACCATCGTTCTCGGTATCTTGATCTTCGTCGTCAATGTCCACATTTTCGTGTTCGTTTTGTCGTTATCTTGTCGTCGCAGTCAGTGTAGTCATTTTCGTAGTCGTTGTCGTAGTTGTTGACGTCGCCGTCACCATCCGCGGCACCCTCTGGTCTCCAATTTGCCATCGCGAAGTCCTTTCGTAAAACACATACATCTAGTGTGTGCGTACATCGGTATCTTCGTCACTACCCATACATGTCTATGAATTCCCTACCTCCCGGATATTTTGCCGCTCGTCGGAGGGGTCTCACGATACGATGGAGTACCTATCTTGAAGAGTAAATCAAGGAGGTTCTGCTATTTAACAATGTCAACAAGTACATCAATTTGGAGTCGTCGTAGAAATTACAAGCTGAAACAGGTCCGGACGAGATAGCAGATCAGTAATTATAATATGATTTACTTGGTCCCGATCACTCAGAGTTATTCACGTTTACAAAGAGTGCCAAGTTCGTCAATTAATGCGATCAACGATCAACTGAGGTGCCAAAATGTACAACCCAATAATCAATTCTACAACGTGAGTGCTCCGAGGAGCTATGAGCGAGAGTAGCGAAGGTCAAAGACCGTCCGACCCAAGCCAAGTTCGAGCCTACCTTTCAAGCGCTTTCAGTGCATCACTGCCCTACGCAGCAGACATGGAAAGCGCTCAAGAGACACCCGATCGAATCGATGACCGCAAACGTGGCCAGCCGACTTTAGGTGCGCAAAGCCCAAGCAGCGTCATACGTCTGGAGCATGTCACCGCACGCGGAGGCAGTCTCTAGCGTGGCTGCGATCGCCAAAGCGATGACGGTGGCGCGGGGAACGCCTCCAGCTAAAAAAGTCTTGCCGTTCATGGCCGCTTGCGCACCCCATCGGACGAAGAGTGTGCGACCGCCAAAGCAGCAACATGTGGCAAGGGGACTCCGCCAGTCTTGGTACCTGCTCCCGATAGACCAGTTGCGCGGTCCCGTGATCTGACGTATGCGTATACCGAAGTAGTGACGCGTGGCGCAGAGTCGCCGCCGATCGCTAACCTCCCCGTATCTACTCCTGGGAAGTATGCTCGAAGCAGCCCCTCCAACTACGGCCGAAGGTGGGTGTCTCGTTAAGGGACTGGATGTGACTTGAGCATGACTGCGCAAATTTCGAAATGTGTTCTTCGCAGTCATTAATCGCAACAGACCACCGTCTAGACTTCATGATCGGAGACGTGGCAGGTGAGCGGGGATTGGCGGCCTGATCGAATGTACAATTCTATCACATTCGCCATATTTGGTGACCGTCTGTGCTCGGCAGTCGCGCATAAAACGCCTAATTAGGCTTGATTTTGCAATTTGTGGAGGGGCTGCTTCACCCGCTGCGTAATAGGTTTTTACTGGTTGCAATCTAGCCCCTCCCGTTGCCGTGTCATCTTCTGTTCAGCTGCAGTGACCAGTGACAGGCAGCGAAAATGGTACAAGCACAGCCTCGATGCAATAACCTGCTCGAAAATGGAAGTTCCTACTCTACACATGCCCACTAAACGAGTCGCTTTGCTTTAAGTGCGTGCATGGATTTTTCTCGACATCGCCGTCAGCTTCCACTCTATCCTCAGATCAGCATCTGCTCTTGCGTCCTGCTCTGTACCATACTCGAAAATGCTGGGCTATCTAGCCACCCGCACGCACGTCACTCGGCGCTTATTCTTCTATGTGGCGAACCGGCTTTTACGGCTTCGACGTGGCGCTGAATACAAACTCCTAGACAAAAAGTAGCAAATCCGATTAGCCAACGATCAAACCGTGGGATCAGGTCAAAGTGGCCAATCATCGCTCGTTCTCGGTCGGCCGTCGTCAGTCGAGCAGCTCCATACGATCCGCTCGTCGTCCCTCGACGTCTCGTCGTCGAAAATGCAGCAAGTGCATCCCAGCCAACCTCCATTCTCCTTCCTGCCTCGGCCCCATCCCTCGTCAATCTCGACTGACTGACTGACAAAGTAACTGACTCAATGAAGCCAACGCTCCGCTACGCCTATTCTCGCAATGGCGACTACGGTCGCGTGGACGAAAAGTGTCTCGTGCGCGTGCAGATCCCGACCGTGGACTCGGGCGCGCATGGCAAAGTGCGCTACCACGTGCGCATTACGAACGTCCGGTCGGGTCAAATGTGGGAAGTCGCACGCCGCTTTTCCGCGTTCCTCCAGCTGCGCAACGACTTGATTGCGTTCTTTGCCGCGACGGACAAGAAGTGTCCCGGCTGTCGCAACTACGAGAAGGTGCTCCAGCGCTTTGAGTTCCCACGCAAGCACGTGTTCACGAGCGTGACACCGGCGGTCATTAATTACCGCAAGAAGGCGCTGTGTAGCTTCATGGCCTTGCTGGCCTCGCACACGTTCACGAGCACACCCAAGTGTCCGACGTGCAGCAGCTTCCCGTTTACAAGCGTCCGGGATTGGTTGACGATGGATACGGTTGCGCAGAAAACGGGGACGGCTGCTGCTGCACAGAACAATGTTGTGAGCGAAGCGATCCGTGATACGATGAACGTCAAGGACTTTACCAAGTATCACCCGGTGACTACGTCGATGTCCGTGGACCAAGAAGGTCGTTTTGTCGGTAAGAAGGGACAGAAGAATACGTCTCCTGGCGCTAGTTGGACGGATCAAAAAGAGAGGAGGCGGGACAGTTCCGGATCATCGCGTCATTGGGAAAAGCAATCGACGTCAAGGGGGAAGTTGATTGAAGCTCACGTGCGGTACAATGGCAGCAATTCGTCGAGTAAGTGCACTTACAGCCCGCCGTCTCCTCCTTCGGTTGACGGCTTTTTGATGCCGACACCTGCAGCTATTGTGGATACACATGTGAAGGTGGACAGTAACAATGGTATTGGCGTAGACGGTGATGACGGCAACGAGGAGGAGGAGGAAGAGTTTGAATCTTTTGTGGTTCCCTCTTCTGCTCTGTTGAGCGCATCAGGGAATGGTGGAGAGTCGGATCACTCGGCTCGTGCACCTTTGACTAGTGATGGCGATGTTTGTGCTGGCAACGAGACGGTAAGAAAAACGCATTTCAAGTTTACGCGCAATTCCATGTGGGCAGACGGCGACCGGTCATCTCTTCATCCACGAGAAAGCAGCATGATCGAGATCGATGACCTTGACGGTGAGGAGGAGGAGGAGGAGGAAGGTCTGAATATGGATTTTCTGGACTTTGTGTGTACTGCACCGACTCTTGCCGAAGGTTCATCATGTACATTATAGAAGGCAGACCGACGACAAGGAAAAGGTTGTGTCTGCACACGCCCCACATGCAAGCTTTCCGCAATATATAGAGTGGAAACTGCTCCAGTGTAAAAAATACAGCGGCTGTCCTGTGCAAGACGTCAGTAGTCATGTCCATGTGCAAGCAGCGAGGAAAGATGTGAGTTTGTTGCCCACGTCTCACCTGTATGGCCATGTCAGTGTTGAAGCGTTTTGACGACAAATAGCTCACACAAACTGTCAGAGCTCATCAAAGTTGACGTAACACTCAGAGTAAAATGGTTGGCCAGCGTTGCAGTGATTGGCATTCACGCCAACGGTCCCGAGTAGATTTTTTTAAACATGCAACGAATTGGGTTTGAACACTGCTGCTGCGGCCTTGGAGATCTACCACGCGATACGTGAAGCTGCATGGTGCGTTGCAGGCGACCCTTTCCACCTAGCTGGCGATCAAAAGTCAGCATCAAGAGTGAATACCTGGTCCTCGGCCGCGACACCTACACCAGCCTTAGAGTACTCGCCCACACGCTTCTCGAAAAAGTTTGTCTTGCCTTGCAGCGAGATCATGTCCATCCAGTCAAATGGGTTCTTTGCATGGTAAATCTTCGACACGCCGAGCGAGTACAACAGGCGGTCCGCTACAAACTCAATGTACTGGCACATGAGCGCCGAGTTCATGCCAATCAGCTCGACGGGCAGCGAGTCCCGCACAAAGTCGTGCTCGATCGTCACTGCGTCGCGAATGATCGTGTGGACACGGTCCTCGGGCAGCTTGTTCACTAGCTTGGAGTACATGAGGCACGCAAAGTCCGTGTGCATGCCCTCGTCTCGACTAATGAGCTCGTTCGAGAAGCTGAGGCCAGGCATGAGACCGCGCTTCTTCAGCCAGAAGATCGAGCAGAACGAGCCCGAGAAGAAAATGCCTTCGACCGAGGCAAATGCCAGCAGCCGCTCCGCATACGAAGATACTTGTGGGTCGCACCACTTAAGCGCCCAATTGGCTTTCTTTCGAACGCACGGGATGGTCTCAATCGCGCGCAGAAGGTGGTCCTTCTCCGTCGCCTCTTTAATGTATGTGTCAATGAGCAGCGAATAGACTTCCGAATGAATGTTCTCAATCGCGATCTGAAAGCCGTAAAAGCACCGAGCTTCCGGCACTTGCACTTCATTGCTAAAGTTCATGGCCAGATTCTCGTTCACAATGCCATCACTGGCTGCAAAGAAGGCGAGCACGTGCTTGATAAAGTAACGCTCATTGTCTGTGAGGTTCGCCCAGTCCTTGAGATCGTGCACCAAGTCCAGCTCCTCGGCAGTCCAGAACGAAGCTTCCGCCTTCTTGTACATCTGCCACACGTCATGCTCTTGGATCGGAAAGAGCACAAAGCGGTTCGGATTCTTCACAAGAAACGGCTCGGGTCGGAGCTCCCCATTCATCTCCTTGCGCTTGTACACAGACATCTCGCTTTGTAGCTCTTCGCTGTCCATCACCTTCTGCTTCATTCCGTCCTTCACCGAGACGTCCCGTCTCTCTGCGAACACCAGCGGGTTCAGCTCGTGCTCTGGTTGGTCCAACGACTTGTCGACAGTTGTGCGTTCCAACAGAGATGCGACCATTGTCGTGTCGGATACAAGGGTGTGTTGATAGCTCCGGGGAGCAGGCGTGGAAAGCACGCGGTGGAATGAGTCGCTTAGTGGGTCCAGTGCTAGATCCAAAGTGACTGGCACAAAAGATGGCGCCAAACACTTGACGCCTCCCGCGCTTTCTCTCCGCCATCGCATTTCGACCAATCACGACGAAGTACAATTCGCGCGCCATTTACAATCGAATATTCATGCATGGACATTGAAATTTAGCGCAATAATTGCAATGCAGAGCGGGTCACCAAAAGCACAAGTTCACCTCGAAACTAGCATTCCCAACATCATGAGTACTAGTCCTCGATTGTAGCACCCGCCCACCATGAACTACTACTCCTCATCAGACGAAGAGCCAAAGAGCTCGTTCTTCTCTGCTTCACGACTTTCAGCAGCCGCAGCATCTTCGGCTGGAATCTGACCGTCATTCCTCACTGCTTCGGTTGGCTTTTTCCGCTCCTCTTGCTCGCCGTAGCTCGAGTCAGAGCCAAAGAGACCAGTCGAATGGTCGATCTCGTCGTCCATGCCAGAATTTGCACGCGCACGCTTGCTGCGCTTCTCGACCAGATTCTTCATCGTCGCGTTGCGGTTCTTCATATCCTCGATCGACATGCTGTTGTCGCCGTCCTCGTCCAACTCGTCGCCTCCATCATCAATAAAGCCGCCGTCCTCGTCACCCGCTTTTTTACGCTTCCTGCCTTTTTTCTTGACCACTTTCTTCTCCTCCTCTTCGCGTTCACGCACACTCCAGCCTTCATGCAACCTTTTCAGACGCTCGTCCTGCTTGAGTCGAATGTCGTCGTAGCGCTTACGCGTATCTTCTTCCTTGATACGCGTCTCCTCTTGTTCACGCGCCACGCGTTCTTCGTACTCGCGCAATAACTTTCGCTGAGCTTCAATCTCCAGCCGACGCTTGTCTTCCTTTTGACGCTCGAACTCCAAGTGATAGCTCGCCTTCGTCAATGTATCACCGCAGAACTTCTCGTGATCCGATACCTTTTCCTTATCGAACGGTAGACTGTTGTGGTGTTTCTTCTTCTCGCTAGTGCCCGCATGAGTCGTAGCATCTGCTTGTTGAAGCAAAAATCGGAAAATGCGCTGAGCACGCTTCAGATCCAGGATGGCGCGTTGCACATCAGCCATCGTTCGATGTTGAGGTACTGCATTACTACCACCGGCTCTCGTAGACGTTTTCTCCTGTCCTAACGTCGTCACACCGTAGTCTTCCTGAGCAAGACCAGTATTATACCAAAGACGAAGGTCGTTCGGATACATGTGAAGTCCCCGCGACAGCGTGGCAATGCAGCTTGGAAAATCCTTCCACTCGTAGTAGGCCTTAGCAAGGTACATGAGCACTTCGAGATCATGACCCTGGTAGCACTTTGTAAGACACACAGTATAGAGCTGAACAGCTTCCTGATAACGCTCTTCAGCGACAAGAATATGCGCGAGATTAATCCAAGCGTCTGGCATATCCGGACTTGCCTCACGCACTTGCGAGAAGATCTGCTTCGCAAGCTCGAAGTTACCCTTCTCGGCAATCATTATACCCAACCCATTGGCAGCATAAATATTGTGCGGATGCAACGCTAGCGTTTTCTTGTAGTATACCTCACTCAATGACATGTTCTTGGTGTACCGATTCTTTTCTCCAAGGTTGCTCATGAAAATATTGCCCATAGATAAGAATGCGTACGGGTCGTTCTTCAGACCAGGCATTCCCATTACCTTTTCATACTTCTTCTGGGCAAACACCCATTCGCGCTTCTTCAAGTGAATGTTGCCCTGTAGTAAACAAGCCTCGGCACATGTCGGGTCTACCTCCAACACTTTGTCGAATACCTTGATCGCCTCAGCTTCTTGGCCACGGTCGCGCAGCATGCAGCCCAAACGCAGCAAACTATCAGTGTATCTGGGGAACGATTCAAGTATAGCATCATACAGCTTCTTGGCATGGTCACGGTTGCCCATTTCCTCGTACACTCTCCCCATGTTGTATAGAATCGAGACATTCGCCTCTGTCGGCTTCGGAATGAAAAACTCATCAGCAAGCGTATCAGTCTCCTCTGTCTTGCTTTCCTCATCCACGTTGTCCAGTTCCAACTGTTTGAGTGCCTTTTGAAAGCACTTGATGGCGTCAGCGGTCTTACCGACCCGTTGCTGAAGCACACCTAGGTTGACGTATACTTCCATAGGCACACGCTCCGACGCATTGCTCATCACTTTCTGCGCTGCAATGTACGAAGAAATCGCAATGATCTGGTCTTTTCGTTCCGGAGACGCATGAAGTAGTTCGGCTGTGCCGATCAAGGCCTCCACGTTGCCTGGTTCGAGCTCGACAACACGACGAAGCAAAACAACTGCCTCGTCTTTTTTGCCAAGCTTGCCATAAACGTCACCGAGAAGCGACAGAATTTCCACGTTTTCTGGGTACGCTTTGTTTGCCTTTTCTAGATACGATGCAGCTTTCGTAAATTCCTTCCGCTCATAGTACATCTGCGCCAGGCCAAACCACGGCAGCACAAACTTGGGCCAAAGCCGTCCAGCGTTGAAGTAGTAGCTGTACGCATCCTTGTACTTACCCTGTGCGTGGCAACCACGGCCCATGAGGTAACAACTTTCTGAGCGTATCTCAGGAATTTTCGTGCTGTGAAAAGCGTTGCCTGCCAGCGTGAACATCTTGTCGTAGTCCTTTCGTGCAATGTTTGTCGCTGTCGCAGACTCGTCGCGGTATGGCCCATCAAGCTTCAGGCCAGATGGTGTCACGGCATTTTCGTCACGACTTATGTACGCAACGTACTTATCACCGATACAGATAATCTGACCGGGAGATACCTCGCTCGAAATGTCCTTGGATGTGGTCACAAACGCAGATCCACGCACCACACTCACCGTGCAAGGAAGTGGGATCCACTGCGAGAAATAGTGGTTTGCCAGGTGGTTGAGCACTGTCGGGTTCGTCTTGTCGATAGCATGGGCGTGGTGAATCATCATCATGAAGCGCGAGCTTTCATTACGCATGCTGACTGCCCGTTCTTCTCGACCCTGACTTGCCAATTGCCAAAGGGCATTAGCAATCACCGCGTCCACGTTCGTCTCATCTAGCGATGCTGTGTATTTCATAACGGCACGAGCCTTCTCCACCGCTCCCAAATGGTAACAACAGTAAGCGAAGCACATGCGCATGTTAGCAGCTTGAGGGCTGCGCGGGTGCAGCTTGATTGCCTCCAAATACAGTTTCTTGGCATCCTTGTACTGTTTCTTGCGATAAAGTAGCAGCGCTTTGCCCAAAATGGCTGGCAAATTGGTTTTATGAGAGATCAGCACACTTTTGATAAAGCGATCGGCACGATCATCTTCGTTCTTGGCCATGAACATCAGTGCTTTGCCTACCAGTGTCATGGGATGCTGGTGGTCCAGGCGGTCAGCACGCTGGAAGTAGCCAACAGCGCGCTGGGAAATGGCTTCTCGCTTCTTCTCGTCTTCTTCGTTCCACATGGCATTCACCGAGTGACTGGCCAGGGCAATGAAGAACTTGATGCGACACATGCGCGACGCATTGTCTTTGTAAATCTCCTCAATGCCTGGCTCGGACGCCACTGCCAAGATCTCCTGGAACTGCCCGACGTGACCTTGATTATAGTACTCGACCTAGATTGTACCACCGAAAAGGTACAATGAGTTGACAAACCAGAATGAGTAACAATCGCGCAACAATCCAGCCGTTCTGCTGGACACGTACGGCGAATTGGAGCCAGACGTCGAGCGGCGCCACCTCAGCACGGAGGATATCGATGATGTCATTCACGTCATCAGGAAGCTCATCGACGTACACTTCCACCGCCTGTTCCGAGTTCTTGACGGGAATGAGCAGCGCACGCTGGTTGCTGGACCCGTCCTCCTCGGCGTCCAACATGCTCGCTTTTGTGACGCTCGGGAGGGTGGTAGCAGACTTCGAGCGACCTCCGCGCAACATCGTCTCGAGTGACCCTTTTTTGCTTTTTTTTTACTTAAGCAGCGTCACCGATAATAAATAAATAAATAAAAAGAAGCCCTATCCCTGCGCTACAACCGCCAATCAGATCACACGCATTTAGCAAGTGGAAGGATGCTCATGCGGCTCCATGGATGGGCCGACGCAGACGTCTTGGCGCTGCTGTCGCTGTTCCGTAAATACTTGGTCCACTACGTCTACACTTCCGACAATGCGTTCGTTGAGGTGGTGCGTGCAGAACTAGCAGGTTGGTGTGGTGGCGTTGGGACGTTTTGCTAGTACTAAGCAGGAGATGCGTGAAGAATGACACAATTAATTGACGTGGTAACTAGCGCTCATCGTAAATTGCTATTGTTTTCTGACTGTTTCTGAATTGCTGCGCCATATCCGATTGGTAGAAAAGCAGGTGTCGGAGATCCTGGAGATGGTGCGGGCGCTGATGCACCAGTTTGCTCTGGGACTGAGCACCAAGAACTTTCGAATGGATGGTACGCCAGCTGAGTTCCGCCCGTCTTGACGTGGTGTAGTGGGCATTGTTGTGCATGGAGAGTTAATGTGACTACGGACTTTTTGTTTGTGTTTGTGTGTGGCGTGAGGAGCAGTGATCGTGGCAAACGGACAAGAGGTCTACGTGTACAAACATATTTACGAATCGATCAGTGCTCTTCAAGAGAACAAGGTTGGTGGGATGTGGTTGCCGGACGAGCTTCGTCGGCTTCTCCAGAAAGCTCGCCAGTATCGTGATTTGTCATCAAGGAACGAGGACGTGTATTTTAAGCGAATTCAAGTGTGGAGTGAGTATTCTCCTTGTTGGTGTAAGAATAAGTGTCCGTACTGTTGATTCTTATGATTGTAATGAAACAGGCAAATCGGTTGCGGAGACGAAGATCAAGTTCCACGCGTTTCGTAGCATTTATGTACGCGAGAAGAAGCAGCGCACATATCGTGAGTGTCACCCACTGCATTATGAATGCGATCAATGTGCACGGCTAATCCACACTGACCTTATATCGTTAAGAGCGAAAGAGAGTGGAGTCTGTGCGGCTTGAGCTGCTGGAAACGATTTTTGGCGACGTATCCGCTACTCGTAGAACTGGAGCGATAGCAGCATCCGGCAAGACTTTGAGACTGTGGTCATCTGTTGACATGGAGACGCTTGTGGACTTTGTCGTTCGAATTACTAAGGAGATCCAACGGACAGGGAGGTCGGACCTAGTGAACTATGTCTCCGAGGCAGTGCGTAAGATTCTGGTGTGTGGTTGTACTACCCGTTGTTTGTGTCGCTGCTGACACAGTGTGCTTTTGATCGCGTGTCTGCGTCAGATCGATCGGACGCATCATGTGTACATAAGCTAGTCGACATGAAAGACAAGTTTTTGAGAAAGTCGACAGCGGTTCGCGCAGCAAGTAAGCGCTGAGCTGCTCTCGGCGTTACGTTTACGTTGTTGTGATGTGTTTTCTTGTATGCATATTTAGATCTGCCAGCCATCGTTTTCGATCCAGCTTCAGAGGCGTACAAGATCTTCTCTGCAAGTAAAGTGTTGATTTTTTCGATTGTGTATCCATTCGCATGTTTACCCGGTGTCGTATTTTCGCATTGACAAGACTGGAACAATCAGAGCGACCCATACGCCCTTGGGTATTTAGCACTGAGGAGACGAAGTACGTTCGTGCATGTGCGTTTTAGTCACATGTGTAGCCAGTGTACTAATGGTACATATCATACGTTTCAACAGGCCACAGGCTGACTGCTGAGCGCAGCAAAAAAAGGCGGAGCCATAGCGCATGGGTCCCACCGTCTAAACTTCGATCTGCAACGTCGGTAGCTCACGATTCGTCGACCTCCAGAGTAAACGCAACGAATCCTACGACACTAGGCGTTTCCCCTTCGGTGACAGCCAAGTCTCTTTCAGGGGCCCAAAATGCAGCAAGTGCTTTTTCTGCAAGCGAGCCCTGCACCAAGGAGACAGCTGCCGTTTCGCGACCGCCACCAGTCGTAATCGCATCAGCAAACAACGCTTTGTCCACGAGCGATAGCACGACATTTGTCCACGACATTGCAGAGCAGTGTCGATGGACGGATGAGGTGGTGCACAGTGTGCTGCGGTGCATGCAACAATCTTTTGAACTGCACCGGTCCAATAGGTTGATTGCTTTCTTTTCTGCAATCGCAAGCCAGATTCCAGGTACGGAGTGAGATGATCCTTACAATTGAGATTTGAGAAGAGTAGATTGGACTAGGATGTCGGGTTTGCGTAAACGTGAATCCGAGAGTGTAGAACTAACTCTGGCTTATACTTCGCAGGCGTCGCGTTTCAGGATGTCTTCGTACACGCTCAATTTATTCTGACCCGGTTTGAGCAGAGTACGATATCCCGTTGGTAGTCCGTTGTTGTAATTTGTATCTCTTCTGACCGTTCATTGATGCTCATGCAGGATTCGGTTCATTAGACGGGTTTGAGAACCTGGCACTGGACATCTATTTGTCGACGTCAACTGAACATGAAACAGTTGGCCGGGACCACTCATGTGACAGCAGGATCGCAACTAGTGGTTTTACGCAGTGCAGTACTGGCAATTGCTCGCGGGACGGTAGCACACAAGCTCCTATGACTGCGGACGGCTCTAAAGAGAGTCACGTGAGGACGGAACGAGCGACTGGTTTGTATACTTTTCGCGAAACAGTCGTCGGTGAAAAGGAACATGACCGTGAACTGGTGCGGCATGTACCTGCAGCCCAGCGTACTTCTCATCCAGAGAACGAGAACGAGGCTGTTAAGAAAGGCGACCGTGAGCATGTTCACGAGCGACTACCTTGTGCTGAGTCGCCCACTCGGACACCACAAACAGGTGACGAGGATACTGCTGACGTCCAGAGTTTAAGCACCGTTGGAAAGCAGTCGAGTCCAGGTTTGTTTGACATTTTGGCTTCGCTTCTTTTCTCATTATCTCATCATCTCCTTGCGTTGCCACTGGCAGAGGGCATCTGGGACGAAAGAGACGACGGGTATTCTGACGCAGACAATGGTGATCTCAACAATCTGCCGATCGACTCATTGGATGGCGCATGTGCGTAGTGTTTTGTCATTGTTGTTTTCATACCGGCTACTCACGTCGATACGAATTCAATGTGTGTACCCTTGTCGTCAATGCAGCGAGCAACTTTGATGAAGCAAAAAGTAGTCATCACAGTGCAGAGAGCGATTCGTGTATGAGCAAGCCATACGTGTCACCAAGGCAGCATGATTGTGACAGCTCAAGCAAATCGTCCAGACGGGGCAAAGACGAGCAATACGGAAAGAGTTCTGCCAAAAAGCGTCGACTGTACGATAAAAACGAAGCAGTATCCGACGACGATGGATCGGATCACGAGAGCGGCGTCGAAGACGAAAGCTCCGATGACGCTGACGATGGTGATTACACCAATGACGATGCGGACAAATTCGCCGACGTCAGTTGCCATTATTCGGGTGGAAAGGATCACGACACTAGCCACCCGCTACGGAGTATACTTGACTCATTGGGGTCGCAGATCGCTGGACTCCAAGACAAGCAGCGTGTGCTCATTGTGCAGAAAGAAGATCGTGAGTGGCGTCAGCGAGAACGTGACGACCTGGCACTCGATTGTGCGCCGCGGCATTTGTCTGCGCGGCCAGTAGGAATTTGCGATGAGCAAATAACGCTTTCGCGTTATGAATCGCGCGTCCGACGTCATTGCTGACCCTAAAGTCACCATCTATGTCGGATGCATTTCATAATGGTTTTGTCTTGTTGTGAGTATGGAGAGGCGACTTTGCACGTCGTGGTTTAATACAAACGATCAACACTTCATCATCCTGCACTTGGTATCGTGTTGTTTTCTCGTCGGTCGAGCACATTCGATGATTGGCTCCCGCAGAAGACCTTCATTGCGTTTTGACCAATCAGATACTCACCTATAATTGTCGCAACTCCGTCTGGATTGATCCAGGATCATGATCGACATCTCGGAGATCCCCGCGCGACCTGAGCAGCTAACGACCAAGTTCCTGCAGCAAATTCTATCAACTTCTTTTCCAGCGCACCAAGTGGTCGATTTCGAATGGAAACCTATGAATATTGGCGTGATTGCACAAGTGGTGACCATCGCCGTGGAGTTTGAATACCGTGATGGCTACAGTGCTGTAACACGGATCAAACGACGCTTTGTGGGCAAGTTCCTGCGGCCCGAGTTCCCGTTCGAGTCCATGTTTATCGTAGAGTCTAATTTCTATGCCGAGTTCATGAAGAAAGCACGCGACACGGCAGATGGCCACCCAGCGGCCTTTGCCGAATTCCCGTTCGCCATTCCAAGAGCAATTTATACGTCCAATGTGCTGATTGTGATGGAGTGTGTCGAGTCCGTGAAGACCTTTACGTGTGTGGAAGGAAGTCCGCCGCAGTATATACCCATGTTGGTAACGAAGCTCGCTCAGATGCATACTCGCTTTTGGGATCATGACTGTGACGGGCTCGCAACACCGGCAGGAATAGGCAGCCAGCTGACTGGTGAAGAGAAACGTTTGCGATTCCCAGGTTGCTGGAAGGAGTTCGTTGATGACATCTCGCTCGAAAGCAGCGAAAAAGCTCAGCTGATATCATTGTGTCATCGATTGAGCGAAAAGACCGACATACTCGAAGCGTTGCACAATGCGGTCGACCATGGACCCTCTTCGTTAATTCACGGTGACTGCCATATTGCCAATATGCTTGTCCCAGCGACTGGTTCTAACGAGGTCACGTGGCTCCTGGATTGGGCGACGTGTGGAAAGGGCAATCCACTGCGTGACCTTGCCTTCTTCTTCATTGTGAGTGTGCGTGCGGATCATCGTCGAGAACAAGAAGACGAGTGCTTAAAGGTGTATCACAAGGCACTTGAGACTGAAGCAGGTGCTGGGCGTTTGTCGCTGGAGGAGCTGCTTCGCTATTACAAAATGTGCGTGCTCAATCAGTTCTTAATCTTGGTCGTCTATAACAGACTAAGCAAGAGTCTCGCGGCCAAGGCGACGACCCAGAAACTTTGCATGGACCTGGACAACCATTTCCGAGAAGTGAATCGTCGCGCGTGCTTGAGTGTTTTGGACAACTGCAAAGAGAAGGAACTCGAGCGTCTGGAAGCTTGGTGTGCATAATACGCACATGAATGCGACAATTGCCTTGCTGGTTGAATGTTGAAAGTTGCTGTGTTCCGTCACATCATCAGGAGCGTGGGGTCGGGTGGGAAAGCTGAGCAAGCAGAGCTGATTGACTCGGATATGCAAACAAAATCGTAGACAGTGGAATAGTTTTCAAGCGGCAAGAGACCACCTCCGAACCTATGTGTTTCAACTCAACAACAACCTCAATTATGTTCAATTTACTGCTTTTTGAACCTTGCACCGCTCTATTGTTGACGGACAGTGAAGATGGTCGAAGCAGCAGCTGCAAGTCGGACGGTTTTCTGCCACACCCGTCTCCGTGACTACTACTACAACATCGTCAAATAGTAGTAGTAGGAGTAGTAGTAGTAGTAGTAGTAGTAGCAGTTGTAGTAGTTATAGTAATACTGCTCCTACTACCGGACCCACCTGTACTACTACTACTACTACTATACTACTACTACCGCACCTCATCTCGAGTAGTACTTTTTGCGACTACTTCATCCCTGCGACTACTTCTGCCGTCGCCTCTGTCGTTCCAACGATCATCCTCATGTCATTCGGCGACTCGACAACTCGGCGCGACCTTGTCAAACAGCAGGCAGAGAAACGAGAGAGAGCGGCCATGGCGCAGTCCATCCCGAAGCCCAACGCGTTCCTGGACAACCTCCTCGTGCTTCTGCTGGTGTGTGAACTCGCCGTCATTGCGCGCACGCTGTGGGACGAGGAGCACATGCTCTCCATCCTCGTGGTCCTGGTCTTTGCGATGGCTCTGGTCGTTAAGGGGATCAAGACTGTGTTCGCGAAGGGAGGCGGGTGGTTCTCCCGCACCTTCTTGCAACACCTGGGGGATCCACTGAAGAAGAAAGTGGCGATGAAGAAGTGGTGCGACCAGTCGTGGCAGCTCGCGATCCACGTGTCCATGACGATCTTTGAGCTCTACGTGCTCCGCGACGAGACGTGGTGGCAAGACACGACGACGCGTACGGGTGTTTTGATGGCTCTGTGATTAGCAACTGACTCATCATGGCTCTAATGGGACTAAAGTTGTGTGGGTTCTCTGTGTTCGGTGATGGTGATGGCGTGTGTGCGTGCAGTGTGGAATCAGGGAACCGAGACGGGTGTCTTTCCGTCGCACAAGTTTACGACGAAACTGCTCTACGTCATGCAAATGGTGCGATGGGGGCACAGGTCCATTGATTTTAGATGTGCTGGTAAAGACTTTGGGGGGGGGGTGGCTGACGTGGAAAGTGGTTGTGGTTGTTGTCGTCGATGTGTTGATTTTGTGCAGGCTATCTACATCTTCACGGCGTTCTCGTGCAAGTTTCTCGAAGAGATCCGCAAAGACTACCTGGTCATGATGACGCACCATGTTATTACCATTGCTCTTGTCACGTGGTCGTACGCAGTGGGCTTTTTGCCCGTGGGCGTGGTAGTGTTGCTGTTTCACGACATGACGGATATTCCTCTCGATATGCTGAAGATGGCCAACTACCTCAAGATGGAAGGCGTCCGTGGACTGTTTACGAGCGAGATCCTGTTTGTCACCACGATCGTACTGTGGTTTTACTACCGCGTCTACCAGTACCCGACAAAGCTGCTCTACACAACCATGGTGGAAACCCGAGAGGCTTCTATGGCACCATCGGACGCACATGACTTCACGCAGCTTTTTCCCCACCCAGGACCCCCATCGTGGCTGCTTTTTAACGTTCTGCTCACCTCACTTTACTGCTTGCATGTTTGGTGGGGTATCTTGCTGGCTCGGATACTGGTTGGCGTGCTGACGAAGGGCGCTCATGACACGGCCAAGGAGGAGTACGAAGGCACGTCGTCTGACTCTGAAAACGAGATAAAGGATGACTAGAAGGGGATCGTGTTTGTGTGCGGAAAGACTAGTGTCCCTCGCGAGATAAATTGCAGCTTGACTTGAAGTGAGAACAAGGAGAGATAAAGTGCGCGTATTCGGTCCCGTATTGTACGTCCTAACAAGCGATCGTCAACACTTTTGCTTAACTATGTCATGTTGGCTTTAGCAGCGACCCTTCAGCCACAGCAACGCGCGTGTAACGACGAGCGATCGGTAGAAGGCGACAACAGGTTGAGCGATGCGTAGGACAAAGCAGTGTTGCTGCTGTAGTCCTACGATCTTTGCGTACTGCCATCAGGACACGACTTGACAAGTGAAGGGATAATGGTGGATGCTTCAGAAGTCACTCAGTAGAGCGCTACATACAGCGGCGAAGCTGTACAGCTCAAGCGGCAATGACATGAGCTTATTCTTGGGCACTCGAGGCATACGAAAACGGAGCTGTGGTCGACAAAGTATGTGCGCCGTCCATCAACATGAAGCGTGAGGGACGAGGTGCAGGCATTAGACAAAGAACATGGTGTGTCGCAACATTGCATCGTATGTGATCAAGCGCCAATGTGAACTTTACTAAGAGCAGCGCATCTGACATCACCCTCAACAGTCGCGTATACATCATTGACCTTTGATACGGAGCTGAAATGATCCTAGCACGGTAAAAGGCGGGACCTACAGCACAATTCCGTCAATCAAAAGGCCATGGTCGGAACTGAATCGTTATAGCCGTTGAGCTTAGCGAAAGGAGTCACTTGATTGGGTGCCTCCGTTGTGTGACAATTGACATATGGTAAATATCAAGTATGAGTATCATGTTAGGACAAACATAAGATTCTCACAATGTCATCCTATTAGATGATATTGCTTCGCGGATGTAATACACTGCTCATTAGTTGATACACGACCACGATATTGATCAATAAAGTCTAACCACGACAGAAGCACGCAATGAGTGGTGGTTGTTGATAGACTATAACTATAAGAGTTGTATTCACAGAATATTGTCATAAGGACAAATATTCTGTAGCACTTACGAGTAGTTCCTAATTGGTTGATGTAGGCCATTATATCAACCAACGAAGACGCGCCACGACAGACGCACGCAATGAGTGGTGAGCAGATAGTTGATATGCACATTTGTATTTAGACATAGTTAGATGAGGATAAATAGTGATTTGTTAACAGACATTAACTATGATAAATGCAGTTCTACTTTTTACTTTAACCAAGTACTCGCTTCTCATTACCGTCTTCCTCTGCACGTACGAGTGTACGTGAAGCTACGAGGCACCGCCTTATTCTGTCGTCAGAATAAGTAGCTTGTACTATCATCAGTACAAGCTTCAGGGTGCCCCGTTACAGGTGGGCAGATAGTTAGAATACTTGTTTGTGTTCAGACCTAGTTAAATGAAGTCAAATGGGGATGATTGGAAGGATTAGCTTCACCAAATTTAGTTCTACTTTTTACCTCTACTGAGTACTTTTCTCCGTATAGCGATCTTCCTCTGCACGTACGTGTACGTGAGGTAGTCGGACGCAGACACCCTTGCACTGTCAGCAGTGCAAGGTTACTTGGTTGGCTAAATAAGGTGTGTCCCGTTACACCTGGTAGTACTTTGTAGTCCGTTCAACGACCATGAACATGTAGGATGATGAAGATATGATTTTTTTTCCACGCATGAAAGCTACTCTCATTTAAGTCGATCAAATGGGACGCCGTTGAACGTTTGAGTTCGACGATAGGCCGAGAAGCCGTTGGCGAAATGCTGTCTACCCTGGGGCCAGACGGACAGCACGCCACTATTGCCAACTTCATTCAGAATGGACTTGAAGTCGAGCGGGAAAGGTAGCCTTGCTTCGCCGACAAGGTTCTCAACAAACAAATCTGTTGAGAACACAATGCTTAATACTTCGAGCTGTTGAGATAGCAGCTGACCACTGCTACCGAGTCGATATACACACGTCGACCCGAGACTTTTAAATATGTACATCTCAAAGTAAAAGGGAGTCGATAAAGACTCAAAATTAAGATGGTTTGTGGAACTACACGATGCCATAAAGGCTCGTCATATCGTAAATGGTCGAATGCAGATCGCATGTGCTCAATCGAACTTGGCAGTGCGTGCGAAGACGTGGGCCTTGGGCCTTCAGTCACACGACCTAAACGTCTTCGGCTCGTTGGAAGTCTTGAAGTCTCTGTTTAGGCAATAATTGTGCCGGTTCGAGCTGATGTCAGGGCTCTCTCTGAACTCCTGAAAATCAAGCAAGATAAACGTGACGTACACTCGTACATTCAGTGCATACGTTACCCTACTAGTTGCGTAGCAGTCGAGCCACTGAACCAACGATAAATGATTTCGTTTTCCATACAGGGTCTCACAGATGCTCCCGTAAAAACCTGCATGTTATGGTTAGAATCTAACACCCTGGAAGAGGCCACAAGGGTTGCGGAACAGGAGGACTTTAGCGTGAAAAAGTTTCACGCGAATTCTAGTTCCTATCGTCCATCAAGACGAAAGAAAAGATGGAGGCCCAAAACCAATGGACCTCTGCCACGCGGGGAGCGAGAGCGTGTTAACAGCTACAAGAAATTGAAAACATGCAGTAGATGTCAAAAGGCAGAGCATTATGCATTCGAGTGCAGTGCCCAGAACGCGGTACCACGTGTCACAGAAAACAATAACTTCCAAGCGGCCAAGTGGGGTCCTTAGCGTGGGCCCGAAGTTTTCGCGAAGATGCATCAATGTAACGGAAGACAAAAAACGGTCGGGATCAGTAAGTGCGGAGTGCCCTACTGGTTCAGCAACGTCGAGTGAGTTTGCAGGCCGCTTGATGAAAGTTGGTCCCAACACTCAATGAGTTGATTCTAACACTCAGTGAGGTTTCAGGCCGCTTGACGAAATCTTTTTCCAACACTCAGTGAGTTTGCAGGCCGCTTGACAAAAGTTGGTCTCAACACTCACCTCAGTCAAACATTGTGTGTTGCCGCTTCTGGTATTGAGTTATCCTCATTACCTTGAAACGTTAAGTGACACGAAGCATGTCACTTCAATTTCTAGTTAATTGTGGGACGTCTAATATAATGATGACTTCATAATACTGGACTTATATGGCAAATCGGATGTTATCCTTGGACTGCTGTGGATCAGAAGGTACGAACCAAAAGTTAGCTGGTATCAACGAACAGTTGATATACCTGTCACTTGTTCACCAGATGATCATCTGATGAACGCCATGGAGCGCTCACTAACATGTGGGTGTACTACGAGTGAGTGCGGTGGCTTCACGTGTGGTCCGGTCGTTAGTACGTCTGGACATGGCTATTGCGTGACTGATCACCACACCATGAACCAATTTTCTGGTAACTGCATAGAGATGCAGGTCGCGCCGAAGGCTTACCACCCGAACAAGTCGAGTAGGCTAGGTAATGAGTGTGATCTAAACAGTCACCACCAAAGTAACAACAAACCGATTGCCAGCAATTCGCAATACGATGACCTATGTGCGATTGGTAAGTAGCACGCAGAATGTCAGGTCGCGGTAGCCTAACCACCTCCAGAGGATAGTGAGAGAAAGATTCCACCCGTGTCATGTAATGATTTAGACCAACAGGCTAGTGAAGGAATAAGTCCTCACCCAACTATGAAAGAAGTTCCCAGGAGATGAAAGAGACATTGAATGTCCTTGTGAAAGAAGGTTCAAGTGCAGACACTTACTGTAACGGGGCACCCTTTGTTTGGGTGTCACAAAACTTCACGTACAATCGTACGTGCATAGGAAGGTATCTACCTTCCTCTGCACGTAATCTACTCAAACAGCTAAGTTTGAGTAAGAGGTAAAAAGAGAACTGTATATAATATAGTTATGCTATCGATATAACTTCAGTCTTTATATAACTATATCAATTTACGTTGACGTATGACGATAATCTACTCACCAATCATTACGCGCGTCTAGCAGCGATTGGTGGTAATCTTGGTAGATCTGTCGTTATCATTTAATCTTCGAGGAGCACATGAACATTATCTAAAGGGTATCATATTCCTTCAATTTTACCTATCTCGGGTAATATCGGCAGGAGATTGGTACGCTAGACAATCTCCCTATGGACACCATTTCGTGTCAATATCATGTAATGGGATATCCCGTTACAATTACCGCCTCGGTCTGAACGTGTATCCTAATACAACTTCAGAGATCACTCAAATGCCCAGGCTCGAGCAGAAGAGGTTCTTGAGTGATCTTCGTAGAGGCAAAGTTCAGCAGATTGCGTATTCATCACAGAAGACGAGTACGCAATCGATATTTGTCGTCAATGGTATTCGCTGAGAATGAAAGGGTTCTCAGCAGCTCATCAATGGACGAGATTGCCCTTGATGAGAAGACTCGAATTGAGCGATATACATTCTGATTATGAATATTGCTCAAGACAGGTTCCCTCTACGGTGATTTGATGTAATATACGAACATATTTCTAGAAGCTTTTATCTACAAGTTACCCAGGGATAAGGGTACTCATACTAATATCAACCTGGAACCAGGTTCAAAGTACTGCGTCATGAAGCAGTGACCACTGTCTCATGAACAGGCATGATCGATTGAAGAATTCTTTGTTGATCGATTGGCAGTGGGCCATGTAAAGAAATATATTTCTTCAAATAGCGCTCCGGCCTTCTGTGTCCTGAAGGCCACGAGAGGATGGCGGATAGTACATGCCTTCAACAAGTTGAATGCTGCAAATGTACCGGCTCAAACGCCGATAGCAAGGAAGGATGTCATTTTAGATGGTAGGGCAAAAAGTACTATCTTTTCATTCATGATTGTGATGGATGGCTTCTATCAGATCCTTATGCGTGAAAGGAACATCCCGTACACAGCAGCGTGCACCCGAAGTGGTATGATCTGAAAACAGTTACTAATAACACAATGATTAAGTAACGCCTCTGCTACGTGTAGCAGATGCGTGTAGAATCTCTTGATATCAGTGCGAGAATTCGCAC